CAGCTAAAAATAGGATCGAGATAAATGTGACTCTGATGAAACACAAATATTAGTGTTAAAGTCTAATTTGAAGCCTTCACAGTCGTAAGGCACTTTTTTACAAACTCGGTGTAGTTGCGTAAAACTAATTTAAATGGTGGCATCTTGCCAACTACAACACACAAAAATGACAAATAGACAACAGTCAGAACACTTTTACCAAACACATAAGTGGTCTCCGAATAAATAACTCAGGGCTAGTTTTAACACATTATTTTTCTTTTCTCAGAAAACATCTAATATTCGTTCTATTAGCCCAGACCTCACATACTGACCTATTGAAAAGAAAATCTTTTAAGTGTAAGAATTGACATAACAAAAGGGTTACAGGGAGTGGCCTCAGTTTAGGAGCATCTTAGTGGTGCTCGTGAGTATGACTGGGGACATTTCCATTTCCACTGAAGCAAAGACACTCGCAATGTCAGTTGTTTGCCAGGTGGGAGAAGCTTAGACCTACTTTTTAAAAAATTTCATTGAATAAATCAATAGAATCAGAAGAAAAAAATGTATTGCTCAGCTACAGATATATCATGTCTATTGAAAGGTAACTAATATCTTAGAGTCATGTGGAAATGTTACTGAGTTTTTCTTTTACATACTTTAATGTCCCAGCCAACACAGGAAATTTCCACTCTTGCTTCTGACAGCACTATCTACAATGAATCCAGCATCGTGGAATCTGGGGACACACAGAAGTGGTGCGGCCACTGGCCTTCTGCCTAACTGGGCATGAGGGCTGCAGGCTGCTGGCAGGGGATCACTCGCTCTACAGTGATAACTTCACCTCTGGGTCATTCCCATTAAATCAGTTTGGGGGTTTTGATGTACGCATTCCAAACTGTATATAAAATCAGCACATTGTACCCCATAAATGCATTAATGTACATGGTTATGATTCAATAAAAAAATTAGGAGGAAAAAAATAAATAAAATAAAATGTTATGTAATCATCCCTTTACCAAACTGCAAAATCTGAAAATGAAAGGTAAATTTTATATACTAACTTTGAAGAAATTTTACTTTATTTTATTTACTTTACTTTGAAGAAATGTGACAAAGACTAAGAATTACATTAAGTGAATCTTCTTTTTCAGTCTCATGGATGAGCTAACACTCTTTTAATGCTCAGTATTTAACATGCAAAATGGATTTTTTTATATAAAACTATATTCTATCCAAGAAGATCACATATTTAGAATTTGCATCATAAATGTTGAAACACATTCTTGGGGGTGGGCTCAGTGTTTTAATATGCATAATTAAACTGCTTTATAAATTATTAAACATTCAAAATTTTAAAATTAAATTATTGAACTCTGTAGGACAAAGTCTCTCTCTATAAACCTGCATACAGACACATTTATGTATATATATACTATATATGTATAAATTAGTGTTAATAATTTTCTTTTAAAAATTTTACTTACTAATTTTCTAATGAACTAACAGTGGCCACGTAGCATGAAAACCAAAAGTAAATATACATTAATGAGGAAGAAGGACTTTTCCCTGAGCATTTCTTAGAGCTTTGTAAAAGGCTGATTATTTCTTATGCATACATTTATCTGATTTGGACAACTTCTATAATCATTTCACGCCACTAAGTTCTTAGCCATCCCCTTGACATTTCTATAAAATATAATTCCTTCAAGACGTGGGTTTGGCATTAAAATGCTTATTTCCCTTTTTCTTTAAATGAAAACAATTTCACACTGTTCTTAACACCCAATATCTAATCTAATCTGACCTTGCCATTTCTATGCATCCACATATTTTAATGGGATTTAATAATTTTCAAGTTAAATGTAACTGGGGTGCTATATTAACAGCCAAGAACCTTCATGAACTGGCTTTCATCTTACCTTTTAGGTCAAATCATATCTCGTGCCCCATATTTTATATGCTAGTAAGAAAATATCCCTAATTCCTCTGCCTTTGCACTTACATATATATCCCTGGCAGGCATCTGTATCTCCTATATCACTCTGTATGGTGATTTTATTATTATCTGACTCCTCTCTCACTAGATGGACTGTGAGTTCCCTAAAAGCAAGAAATCATTCATCTTTGGACCATCAACAATAGTGGGTACACAGTCAGTATTTGTAAAGAAACGCATGAATAATGCATTCATCTAATTCAAGCTCTTAGTATTTTGTGTATTTAGAGGTTCATTTCAATATTATGTTTTCTAAAATGGTGATAAAATCATTTGCAAATTCAATGAGCAATTATGGGGAATACCTATCAATGAAAAAATCCAGTTGATGAATTATAATTTAGGTTTTGGAAAATCAAGTTTATATAGAGAGTTTATGCTAAGATAACATGTTTTTATCCTATTAAGAAAAAGGAATATAAAATGTCATTGAATATTATTGAAATAAAATAATGCGGAGAAGAAATTAAAAGTAAATATATTCTGGTTCATTTTCCTCGGCAAATAACATTTATTTTGACACGTGCACAGTACCTATAAAATATAAAAACAGAACAAACTATACCCTTAAAAATATTCTTTCATGTTAAATATATTCTAGAGCAGTGCTTCTCAACCTTCCTAATGCTGCGACCCTTTAATACAGTTCCTCATGTTGTGGTGACCCCCAACCAGAAAGTTATTTTGAGCATTCAAAATTTTTAAATTAAATAATTTTATGAAAATAATTTTATGAAAATAATTTTAGGGTTGGGGGTCACCACAACATGAGGAACTGTATTAAAGGGTCACAGTATTAGGAAGTTTGAGAACCACTGTTCTAGAGGGTTTTAAAAAATATAAGTGTTAATATACAAAGCTATTGTCCTGAACTTGGTCCCAAAGGCTTGGATAACTCCTTACAGTCTGGATATGGACAAGGAAAATGGTGTCCAGAGGATCCCACAAACTAACACTAAAGGCATGACAGGTGTAAGCGAGACAGATTTGGACTAAAGTAAAGGATGTGAAATACTGGCTTTTGTTCCTAAAAGTATGTTTAACTCTTCATTTACTTCAAAAGGAGTTGTTGAATTTTGGGGCACCCATTCTGTTTCATTCATCTAGCCAGTAGAGCAGCACAAGTACTAGAACCAGAGTCACACAGAGAG